GACCTCACTTCCTCTTCCGCCCAGAATTCTATTCTGTTTTCTCCTCCCATCTATGTTCTAAGCTATGAGGCCAAGCAGTTGGTTTATTGCTCAACCAATGAAATCAACAGATTGATATGACACTCCCACATCAACCATGCTCCTGTGAATGGTCCCACACCTGTGCATACACAGGAAACATGAATTGGACTCAGTGAGTTTTTAAAAAAATAAAAATAGAGGAGGGAGAATGGGGAATAGATCTGGAAGGAATTAAGGAGTGGGGAGAGAATATGTTCAAAATACAGTATATGCATGTAGGACATACTCCAAGAATTCATAAGCATATACAGTTTTTACAAACTAGCTAGGTACTATCAAATATTAGATGCATGGGACTTTTTTTTAAATGATTTATATTATTTGTGTATAAGAGTGTTCTGCCTGCCTGACAGAAGAGGGCACCAGATCTCATTTCGGAAGGTTGTGAGCCACCGTGTGGTTGCTGGGAATTGAACTCAGGACCTCTAGAAGAACAACCAGTGCTCTTAACTTCTGAGCCATCTCTCCAGCCTGGAAGCAGAGACTTTTAATAACTGACTTAATAAAAATGCCATGCCTTCCATCAAGATGAGCCAGTTGGAAAGCGTACACTGATATCCACCATGAACAGGAGACAGGCTTGTTTGCATTCCTGGTCTGCCCTTGCCCCGCTTCCTCTTCAGCACTTCTGTGTTACTTCTGGGGGTCAGGCAGAAAGGTCGATTTTCTTCATGATTTGATAGGTATCAGTCTGTCACAGCAAAGTGGACATGGAACAGCTCTCATCAGTGGTTCCCAACCTGTGGGTCGCGACCCCTTTGGGGTCAAATGACCCTTTCACTGGGGTCACATATCAGACATCCTGCATATCAGATATTTACAATACAAATCATAACATTAGCAAAATTACAGTTCTGAAATAGCAACAAAATAACTATATGGTTGGGGTCACCACAACATGAGGAACTGTTTTAAAGGGTTGCCCCATTAGGAAGGTTGAGAACCACTGGCAAACAGGAAACAGCTGAGTAGTAACAGGAAGAGGTGGGACCAGGTAATATGCAAGGATGTGTCTGCAGCGATTCCTTTCCTCCAGGCAGACCCCATTGTCTGCAGGTCCACTGCCTCCCAACAGTCAGCTCAAACTTTGAATCCGTTAGTGGGGTAAGCCAATAGGCCAGAGCTCTCATGGTCTAACTGGCTCCAGAAACTCCTTCACAGACTCAGCAGAGATGGGCTTTAGCCATCCCTCGGGGACTCCTAATCCAGCCAAGCTGGCAATCACAATTCACCAGCACATCACCCTGATCTGATTTGTGCTCTCCTGTAAAGCTGCCACCACCGATCAACAGCAGCTTCTTGGGTCCCTCTCAGACCGCTTTCTCTCTCTCTCTCTCTCTCTCTCTCTCTCTCTCTCTCTCTCTCTCTTTCTTTCTTTCTTTCTTTCTTTCTGTTTTGGTTTAGTGTTTTTTTTTTATTGTTGTCTGGTTTGGTTTTGGTTTTAGTTTTGGTTTCCAAGTCAGGCTTCCTCTGTGTAGCTCTGGCTGTCCTAGAACTTGTCTGTGGAACAGGCTGGCCTTGAATTCAGAGGCTTGTGTTTCATAAACATGCAATGCGGAAGATTTTTAAACTACTTTGTCCCCACCTCTTTGGATGCTCCCTTTAGGACAGCATACATTTCTTTCCCTCTTCCCATCACTTAAATTTTAGAGCGATTTATCTTTCCTCAAGGCACCAGTGACCATCTGGATGACAAGGAAGCCAAGAGTGATTTTCACAGATTTCCCCCTCTTCATTCATGGCCCCTCCAGTCTTCACTGAGAGACTTACTCCAAAACTTCCATCACATCCACAGTCCCTCCTTTTCCTATTGGTGGCCTAAGGACCACACCTAAGATTGAGCAGTCGCTCGCTCGTGTTTTTCCCTGGTTCCTCCTAGAGAGACCTAGAACCAAGCCCCCTTCCCTGCCTCCTCCATGTCCAGTCCTGGTCCAGGCCATTGCCCCCACCTTTTCTTTAGACGGGGTCTCATTTTGTAGCCTCTGCTGACATGGACCTCACCGTGTCAACCAGGCTGGTTTCAAGCTCACAAAGATCTGACTGTCTTTGCCTCACTCGTACTGGATCAAAGGCACATGTCACCACCAGCCAGCCCACCATTGTGCCCTGCGTGGACCATTACACAGGCCCAGACTGCACATCTGCTCTTGCCTTCCTGCCGTCATCCTCAGGACAGAAGGTGGCAGCGCAATCGCCCTAGAGTCTAAATTCACTGTACAACGAGCTTCTGACTCACTACCGCCTTTGGGACAGAGTCAGGACAAATTCACCTGCACGTGACTCAAAGGGCCACTTCCTCTTTCTCAAACAGTATTATCACTCGGCTTCCAGAACATTCTACTTTTCTTCACCCTTCAGCTCTTTCTCTTTTGCTGAACTTTGCATCTATCCAGACTTTGAATCCTGGAACTGCTTCCGAGCTTAGTTCCCATTCACCCTTTCTTCTCCGCAGAGGTCTTGGGGCCTCTGTCTCTGTGCCAGTGGCATCTTCGTTTGGGTTATTTGCTGTGTCCTTTTCAATATTTCATTTTATTAAGATTGTGTGTGATACATGTGTGAGCGCATATATATATAACATTCAAGTTATTAACTAATCAAACAAAAGGAGTCTTTAAAAGTACCAGTCAGGGGCTGGAGAGATGGCTCAGCGTCTTTCCAGAGTTCAACTCCCAGGGTTCAACTCCCAGCACCCACATGGTAGCTCACAGCTGTCTGTTACTCCAGTTCCACAGGATCTGATAACCTTCATGCACAAAAAATAACGTTAAATAAATTAAAATAATATCAGTCAGAGCTGGACAGTGCTGGTGCACACTTTTAATCCCAGCACTTGAGAGGCAGAGGCAGGTGGATCTCTTTGAGTTCAAGACCAGTCTGGTCTATAAAGTGAGTTCCAGGACAGCTAGGACTACACAGAGAAACACTGTTTCAAAAACTCAAAATAATCAGTCGGACCATGGATATCTCTACTCAGAACTCTCCAACTATTTCTTATTCTTTCTGAATGAAGCTGAAGTCATGGCAGCTGTCCTCAAGAGCCTGTAGCGTTTGCCTTCCGCTCCTTAGCAGTCAGTTCTTACTTCCTTCCAACTCCCCACCGTGGCCACTCTGTCCTACGCACCCTGATATCCCTCAGACCAAACAAGCACACTACCACCGCGGGGACTTTGCACATGCTCTTATTTTCCTTCTGCCAAAAAAAAGATCTCTTCCGTCTGCCATACACATGACTCACTCTGCACTGCCTTCTTGTCTTTGTTCAAGTTCACCTTCTCAAATAAGCCCTCCCGGACTATATAGACCGAGTACCTAAATCACACACACACACACACACACACACACACACACACACACACCCTATTGGCCCCTTTCTCTGTTTTATTTTTCTGCTTAGTTCTCATCCACCCTTTGCCTACTCTCATATATATATACATATACATATACATATACATATACATATACATATACATATACATATACATATACATATATACATCCTGCTCGCTGTCCGTTTCTACCACTGGCATGTAAGTTCTCTGGGTACAGGGATTCTTCTGCCTGGAACATAGTAAGAGCTCAGTAAATGTTTGTTGGATGGATGGATACAGGAAAACGGGGATAAGTGAGTGAAAAGCACTGTGCTCCCCCACCCAGGTATACCCCCTCCTCACCAAATGTCAAGGCCTCTTCACCCTGGAGTCCCCGACACCAGGCTGTTCCCACTCCTCAGCCTCCACTCACTCCCTCCTTTCTGGCTGATTCCTCCTTTGTTTGAGTTTGTTGTTCTGAGGGATTGAGTCTAGGGCTTCACACCCTCTTCAAACCCTTTCCGCCTCCAAGCTACCGCACCCTCCGATGCCAGTCTTTGAGATTCATGCTAAACAGGAGCTTGCTGGCACTGCCTGCACCCTAAATACATTCTTCTTCCTGGCCTCCTACTAGGGCCCTGCCCCCTGACTCAGGGTAGCCAAGAAAGCACCACACCAGAGTCTAGGAATCTCCTTGCTGATCATTTGCCCCATTGCTCAGAGAGCCCTGTGGGCCATGAAGGTTTTCTTATTTTGCCTTCCTAATATGGTGTCTGCCAGTCATTTAATAAATGTTTTGTAAGAAAACAGAAATTCTTGACCACATATTTTCTCTACTCAGTATTCTTACGTTTCAGCAGCACTAACTGGGTTTAGAGATAACAGTCACCTCATGAGTTAGTCTGGGTCAGCAAGATGGCTCAGTATTTAAAGGTGCTTGCTGCCAAGTCTGATGATGTGAGTTCGATTCCTGGAACCCATGTTGTGGAAGTGGAGAACTGGCCCATGCAAGTTGTCCTGTGACCCCCCCCCCACATTTGTGCCATGGCCCATACCCCCCTCCCCCCCAAAAAAACCCAAATAACTAAATATAATTTAAAATTTAAGATTCTTTTAAATAAAATAGGCGGGTCCAAGAGGCCAAGCATCTGGCAAGGCACAGGGCTTGGAAGTGTCCTTTTGATTCCAGAGGCCTCACTTCTTCCCACAACCATGAGTAGGCCCTTTCTCTTTCCAAACCATAATGGGTGCGGGCAGCTGGCCTGAGTCATCCAGACAAGGTGTTCCCCAGAAGGTCAAGCTCAAGCCAATTTCGGTTTACACACGTCACAAAAGGGAAACTACAAATGTTGAGAATCGAAACTTACAGCACAGAAATTGGCCAGCTGCCAGCCTTGTTAAGGTGGCCCCAACCTGCCAGCTCCGAGCTCCCATCCCCCAGCACACCTCCAGTGACAATAAATCTCCAAGAAGGGGATCCCCAACTAGCCCATTGCTCCCTGTTCCTCTCTTTCCCCACTCTTTTTACCACAGGATGCTAGAGGTCCGCTGGGAAGGAGCCGCCTTAAAAAAGGAGGTGTGTGCGGGGGAGTTGGCTATATAACCCTGCAGCGGCAGCCTTCAGTGGTTGGGTCTGCCATGGCACTGGCCCAGGAGCTGTACAGCTTCCCAGCTTCCAAGTTGGACTCCTTTGTGGCTCAGCAGCTGCAGCCAACCAGAGAATGGAAAGACGAGGTGCTGGAGACTGTGAGGACTGTGGAAGAGTTCCTGAGACGGGAGACCTTCCATGGAGAGCGTGGGCTGGCCCGGGATGTGCATGTGTTGAAAGTGGTCAAGGTAAGACTGACCGTCCATTCCCAGCCAAGATAGGCAAAACCCAGCACAGGGGGTTTCCAGCCAAGAAAGACAAAACCCAAAGCCGGAGCCTCAGCCCACAGTGCCTAGCTCACACTGACATCTCCCTGTCTTCAGCCACTGCCGTGAGCAGAACGAGCTGGTAAAGAAGCTAATAACAGACCCCCTTTGGGGAACACAGTAGCCTAACCCTTAATGTTCTCCCATTAAGGCTTATGCTCCGTGAGGTACAATTTTTCCCCCTTTACAGACGAACCAAACAGAGTTATAATGGCCACACGCAATGTGAGGCCTCTCATTGGATCCTGGCGCATAGTCTGTAAGAAAGTTTGGGGAGCCTGATATGAGGAGTCCACTCCTGTGATCTCAGCACTCGGGAGGTGGAAGCAAGAGGATCATGGGTAGGAAGACAGCCTAGGTTACAAGTTTCAGATAAGGAGAAAGAGAAAGTGTGTGTGTTTGGGAACGATTGGTAAATGTTTAATATGGGATACATTTGGTAAGTAGACTGCTGTTTGTCAAGTCTAACAGCGTCTGCTGGGGTAGAGTCTTTCTTTTGGGGGCCTCACGTGCTATGCCTGTTGAGATGAAGCAAATGCGGAGCGGTAGCTCGGTGCTCAAGTGCAAACCTAGCATGTTCGAGGCTCTGGACAGACAAAAGACAGACAGACACAGATGTGACAGGCTCTGATGTGCTGGGTGCCAGAGTGATCTTTGTATTTTTTCCTATCTGTCCATGCTTTAATTTTTTGATAATAGAAAGATTTTTTTATAATGGATGCTGAGGGGGCAATGTGGCTTGCTTAGGGCTGCACAGCTGGCCTCAGAGCTGGGATTTAAGTTTGAATACTCAAACTGTGCCCCAAGATTCTCACTAAGAATCCCCACCCCCAAATCCTTCCTCCAGCTCCTTCATCCATCCTCTGTGCTAGCGGGAATCACAACTCGAGATACGCAGAGGTCGGCAGGCCTGGAAGGGGTGGGACCTGGGTGTGATTTCCACTCCTGAGAATTCCAGCCCTGCGGAGACAGAGACAGGAGAATCACCAGGAATCCCTGGTCCACCAGCTTAGCCAATCAGCAAGCCCCAGAACACAGTAAAAGACCTTTTGTTAAAAACCAAGATGGACAGCCTAAGGAATGTTACCCAAGATTGACCTTTGGCCTGCACACGCATACAAGCATACATGCACACAACTTTGGAGAATTAGTCTCAGCAGATTGTTCATTTACATGAAGGAGACTGACACTCAGAGAGGGTGACATATCCAAACGCCACACACATCCAGGCTAGAATAAGGACTCTGGACTCCAAGCCTAAGGCGCTAACTTTTGCTCTTGGGAAGAATTTAGCAGCCCTGAGCCTCTGTGCCTCCCTTGCACTAATCCTGTCTCCAAAGCCCCAGACACGTGATTTAGAAGTGGCAGTTTGTGCCCTGTCACTGCACAGACCTGGATTTGTCTCTGGGTTTTTCCTCTCACCAGTTGTGTGACTTTGACAGTACCCTTCTGTGATTGTAGCATCCCAAACATCGTCTCCCGCTGCCCTTCTGTGATTGTAGCATCCCGAACATCATCTCCCACTGCCCAACACTGAGGCCTAAAAATTCTCTCAGGGTAAATTCTTAGACAGAAAGGTTTCATTGTGACATTTGTCTAGAACTTCTTTCTGGTCCACGGGACTTCTCTCTTGGGCAAGGCCATCCTCCAGACCACTCCCTTCCTGACAAACTTGAGAAAGCAGTGGGTAGAATAAAAAGTATTCTAGGAAGCAGAAGAGTCAACAAACAGTATGAGTTTTGATGGCAACAGATGCTACCGGCTAAGCCACAGTTCTCCTTCCCTAACCCACTAAATGATAGCCACACCTAAAGAGTGAGGCCCACAGAGAATGAACCTTAGACTCAAAGCCTTCGTTCTCTGCACCCTTGGAATTCCGGGCGGAGGGGCAGGCGGGGTGCTGAGCTCTCCACATGACTGAATGCTCATCTAACCAATCAGTTGTGAGCAATTTCAGCAGAGGCCAGTCATGAAGTCTGCTCTAAGCTGTTTAGGAAAGGGGGAGAGCTGGGCCTGCAGAGGGATCAGGAAGGGAGAGGGCGGTGTAGACACGACCTTTGCCGACGTTCAGCATCAAGCTGCCATCCTTCCGCTCAGGGTAGGAATACCGAGTCTGAATGCTGGGATCAGAATAAAAATGGAGAATAAAGACAGCAGGTGCCTGCTTCTTGGGAGCAGGGTGAGGTCCATTGGACAGCATCCCAGGATGGTAAGGAAGAAGAGCCACGGGCCATGTCATCTGATGTTCCCTCTGACTCCCTGTCTGGCTGGGAGACCTTGCAAGCAGATTCTGCTCCACTGCCTCAGTATTTCCAGCTGGGGAGATGGGTCACAGGCCATCTCCATGGTGATTAGAAAAGAGAAATGCCTTCAATGGCCTTGCTGGTGCCGCACACTGGGGCTGCTCAGCCTGTGATGGCAGGACTTTAATTTCTGCAGTGACTGCACTGACCAGGAAAGGTAGCCACCTGGAGACTGACCCTCTCCCAGCAGTCCCAGGTCAACCAACATGGGGTGAGAAAGAGGTGAGCCAGAGAGATGCAGGGCCTTGTATGCCAGGGGGGTTCTGGGACCTGCAGGGTGGCTCAGTATGGAAGGTGTCTACTACCAAGCCTGACAACCCAAGTATAATCCCAGGAACCCACGTGGTGAAATGAAGGGACTAACTCCCAATAGTTGTCCTCTGACCTCCATATGTGTGCTGTGGCATGCACGTGTGTGCGCATGCACACTCATACACATACACACTCGTACACACGAATAAATAAAATAAAAAATTAAACAGTTCAGTCTCCCACCATTAAGAGGTGGGGTGACTAATGTCTAGAAAGTTGGGGAGTCAACTAGATGAAAAGGAAGAGACACCACTGCTTACATCCAGGACACGGGACACCACACCCAGCACTTGGCATTCAGCATTTTAACTGACCTTCCCTGTGTTCTAATGGTTCCCATTTCATCAGCGTTTCCATTTCACTCATGATGGACTTCGGGCTCCTAATGATCACACGGCAGATAAATCAAGGATAAGATTCAAGGGCAGGGCTAGGCATACAGTTCTAATACAAAAGTGCTTGCCTACCGTCACGGCGGCTCCCTGATTCATCCAAATATAATTTAAGGGAGGGAGGGAGCATGGATGGATGAAGCTGACTGTTTCACAGCCCGTGCAGTAGATAATTCTACAGGCTGGGAGCCCCTTATCAGATCCTCAAGGCCCAGAGTGTTTCGGGTTTAGACATCCCCCCACACTAGGCTTTGACCTATTTACATAAACATAACAAGATATCTTAAGATAGGACTGAGAAGCTGAAGAGATGGCACTGGCTGCTCTTCCAGAGGTTCTGAGTTCAATTCCCAGCAACCACAAGGTGGCTCACAACCATCTGTAATGAGATCTTGTGCCCTCTTCTGGCCTGGAAGCAAACATGCAGATAGAACACTGTACACATAATAAATAAATCTTTAAAAAAGATAGGACCCAGATCTACTCATAAATTCGTGTTTTCATATAGCCCAAAGGCAATTCTGTACAATATTTTTGGTCACATGAGATTAGGTGTGGAATTTTCTACTCGTGGCGGCGTTAAAATACTCTTGGATTTTGAACATTTTGGAGTGTTTAGATTAGGGATATTCTGTCATTGTTCCCTTGGGGCGGGCATTTCCCTGGGTTGGACAAGACTGAGTCTCCAAAGGTGGATGGTGCAGTGAGGGGATAATCAAGGGCTGCTATGGTGGGGGCACATCTGTCCCATTGCTTGGGAGACTGAATCCGTCAGGACGATCATGAGTCGAGGGCAGCCTGAGATACACAGCAAGTTCCAGGCCGGCTGTGGACTGCGCAGGGAGACCCTGTATCAGAAAGGAGAACATAAGGAAGCCTGGTGCTGGGTGCCAGCAGCCAGAGCTCCCGAGCACCAAATTCATCCTCTGCCTGTCTACCCCGTGACACGGGACGGCAGCGCTTCTCTCCTAGCCCTTGTAGAAAGACTATATATTAAAGGGATCTATTGTGTGAAGGGCCCCGAAGTTGCTGGGTGCATGGCAGAGGGCCTTGGGATGACAGAGTTCTGTCTTCTGCAGGTGGGCTCCTTCGGGAACGGCACAGTGCTTAGGAGTACCACGGATGTGGAGCTGGTGGTGTTCCTGAGCTGCTTCCACAGCTTCCAGGAAGAGGCTAAGCACCACCAGGCCGCACTGAGTCTGATCCAGAAAAGGATGTTCTATTGCCAAGACCTGCTGGACCTTGGGTTCTGTAACCTGGGAGTGACCGAAGGAGTCCCCAGGGGTCTCATCTTCACTATCCGGACAAGGGAGACCTGGGAGCCCATTTCTGTCACCATTGTGCCTGCCTACAGAGCCCTGGGTAAGGGGAACAGAAGTCCTACATGCCCAGCCTGCCAGCTTCAGGAGGCTGTTACCCCCTGCGTCTGGTGGCCACAGACATTCCTCCATCCTACCCACGTCCTGAGCTGGGGCTGAGCTGCCACAGTGTGCTCAAGACTCACACTCGGAGCTGGGAAACAGAAACTTACCACAGAGGCACACTGTGGAAAACGAGGAGCTCTGCTGGGGAACCACCAGAGAATGTTCAGGAAAGGATCAGATCAGGAACTGAGTCCTTCCTACACGACACTTGCTGTGTCTGGACACGCACTTCGTTCCCAGAAACAGACCTGTGGCAAGGGCAGGTCTAGGGGACACGCACTTCATTAGGGAATTAAAACAGAAAGGGGAAGGCACTAAATGCCTTACTCAGCCTCTGCAGAACTCAAAAGGTTACTGTAGAAACCTCTTCCACCTCACTCACCGCCCCGTTGCCCTGCAGAGTGTATCCATTAACTGGGGGCAGCCTCAGAGTTAGGCGGCTAAGTTACCTACACCTGCAGTTTTGTTCGTGTTTGCTATCCACCATGTTTTACTCTGAGGCCAGTGACCCCAGTCTGATGTCCGTAAGCTTCATCATCCTGGGACAAAACATCCAGGACAAGCAACTTAAAAGGAGGCAAGCCGGGGCTGGGCTCATGGTGTTGGAGGCTTCAGCAACCAATCACACGCTCCTTCCTGTTGTTTCTGGCCAACACACCAGGATAGCGTGGAGCAATGTATGGATGAAGAGACTTGCTCATCTTCCAGGAAGGAGTGGTGGGAGGGGGGGAGAAATCTAGAAGAGAAGCGTCTCTGTGTTCCCTTAAGAGGTGGCCCCAATGGCTTGACATCCTTCCGCTAGTCTCCACCCCTCAAAGGTTCTGCTCCCACCCTATAGCACCTCAAACTGACAGCTAGACCTTTAGCACGTGTGTCTTCAGGAAGACTTACTATCCAAACCAGGCCAGGGAGATTCTCGCAAAGGACCTAGTTTATGACCATGTGGCAGCTCACAACTACCTGACCCTCCAGCTCCATAGGATCCAGTGCCCTCTTCTGACCTCCTTGAACACCCATGTGTGTTGTGCACATACAAACTCATGCAGGCACACATGCACACACATGGATATATAAAAAATGCATAAATCTCCAGATCCAAACTCTAAAGAGTTTTGTATTGTGCGCCAACTCCCACTGATTACAGGATGTGCGTCATTGCTCCATGGGTGTTAGAAGTGGGAAGGAAGTCATTCACAGGGTGGCCAGCACTTGGTTCTCCCCTATGAGTAGTGGCAGATTCCAAACAATGTCCTAGAAAGAGATCTATTGATAAAACAGACTTTAAGGAAAGCTGGAAGTGCTGGGGACATCCAGGGACAACCTGAAACATGGAGAGCCCAAAGCTGGTCCTCTAGGCTGGGTGTGGTGGAGGGTGCCTTTCATCCCGGCACTCAGGAGAGAGGATCAGGTGGATGGCTAAGGGTTTGAGGCCAAGCCAGTCTATGGAAGAAGTCACCAAAGTAAAATTTAATGAAGTGGTTTTTTTTTGTTTGTTTGTTTAAAGAACCTCACCAGAAAAGTTCTGTGGTGATAGCGTACGCTTTTAACCACAATGCTCGGGAGGCAGAGGCAGACACAGGCAGATCTCTGACTTCGAAGCCAGCCTGGTTTATAGAGTGAGTTTCAAGACAGCTAGGGCTACACAGTGAAACTCTGCCCTGGAAAAAATAAAAAACAAATCAGAGAGAGAGAGAGAGAGAGAGAGAGAGAGAGAGAGAGAGAGAGAGAAATGGGGAGCAAGGGAAGAGAGAATATGAATCTCACTGGAAAGACCTTCACTCAGGGCTCAAGTCTCCCTGGACGCAGAATGACCAGGTCCTCCCCAAATGACTACTTGGTTCCCAGGGCTTCCAGCATCTTCACTCGGTCTCTGTTTCCACTCTCCTCAGGGCCTTCGTGTCCCAACTCTCCGCTACCCCCTGAGGTCTATGTGAATCTGATCAAGGCTAATGGGTACCCTGGAAGTTTCTCTCCATCCTTCAGCGAGCTGCAGAGAAACTTCGTGAAGCATCGGCCAACTAAACTGAAGAGCTTCCTGCGGTTGGTCAAGCACTGGTACCAGCAGGTCAGGGGCTGCCAGGTTGGGGGGGGGGGCTCAAGAGCTTTCTGTGGCTGGCCAAACACTGGTACCTGCAGGTCAGGAGGCTGCCAGGTTAGGGGGCCTCAAAAGAAAACAAGGCTAGGGGAAAAGCGGGAGAAAGAGTGAGAGAAAGCTAGGATATAGCTGGCATTTTCTTTGAGCCACCAACCAGCTCTGAAATAAAGACACGGAGGCTTATTATTAATTATAAGTGCTCGGCCTTAGCTTAGGCTTGTCCCACCAGCTCTTTTAACTTAATTTAATGTTTCTATTTGTCTATGTTTTGCCTCAGGGCTCTTTACCTTTTTTTTCTTTCATTCCGTATGTCCTACTTTCTTTCTTCCTCCGTTTCTGTCTGTCTGGCCCATGGCGTCTCCCTGTTGTCTGCTTTTCTTTTGAGCCTAAATTTCTCCTCCTACTTTCACCCCCTGCCTAGAAGTCCCACCTATACCTCCTCCCTTGCTATTGGTCATTCAGCTTTTTATTAGACCAGTAAGGTTCCTTAGGCAGGCAAGGTGAAACAGCAGCCCATCTTTATACAATTAAACAAAGGCAGCCATCTTTATACAATTAAACAAAGGCAGCCCATCTTTATACAGTTAAACAAAGGCAGCCCATCTTTATACAATTAAACAAAGGCAGCCCATCTTTGCTTAACTGAGCAAATATTCTGCCACACTGGGACATTTGCAGCCTATAGTTACGGCCTCCTTTGGCTGACTCTGCTCCTGGGGTTTGTGAACAACAAACCCAACAAGCTCAAGACAAAGGAGAGGAGAGATTGCCTGAAATCCACTCACTATTCTGCTTCTCAGTGATGGTTGTTTAAGTGTCCTGGTCATCATGAATGAACCAGCCTTGGTAACTACACATCTGAGAAGTGCCCAGCATATGTCAACGTAGCCAGGTGTGTAGAGCTATCTAAACTGAGAAAGGAGGAATCAGAAACAGCTCCAGCACACGCGCACATGCGTGCTCACACGCACACATTCATGGTGGTCTTCTTGTAAAATAAAAATACACGAAGATAAAGGTGAGGCGCGATGGCACACACCTGTAACCACAAGACTCGGGAGACTGAAGCAAGAGGCTCAGCCTGGACTATATAGTGAGCTCCAGGCCAGGCTGGGCTACACAGTGAGACTCTGTCTCAAAAACACTCCATAAATTTGCTATTCTGGCATAAGGAAAAAGAGATTACCTGTGGGTGGGTTAATTTCTAATCAGTGTGCTCATCTGTCATACACACACACACACACACACACACACACAATGTAGTTGGTTGTTTATGGATTCTTTACTCTTTGGGGGGCCCGCCACCCAGCTCCCAAATAAATCACACACATGGAGGCTTATTATTTCCTTTCTTTCTTTCTTTCTTTCTTTCTTTCTTTCTTTCTTTCTTTCTTTCCTTCATTTTTGTTTTTTCGAGACAGAGTTTCTCTGTAGCTTTGGAGCCTGTCCTGGAACTAGCTCTTATTGGCCTGAAACTCACAGAGATCTGCCTGTCTCTGCTTCCCAAGTGCTGGAATTAAAGGTGTGTGCCACCACCACCCAGTGTCTTATTATTTCTCATCAATGCCCCGCCTTAGCTTGGCTTACTTCTTGCCTGCTTTCTTAATTTAAATTATCCCGTCTACCTTTTGCCTCTGGGCTTTTTTCCTTTTCTTTCTTCTGTCCTTTCACTCCTACTCTGTGGCTGGCTGGGGGGTTGGTGGGATGAGGGGCTGGGGGGCTGGGGGGTTGGGGCATGAGGGGCTGGGGGCTGGGGGGTTGGAGGCATGAGGGGCTGGGGGCTGGAGGGTTGGTGGGATGAGGGGCTGGGGGTTGGGTGGCTGGGGACTGGGGGATTAGGGGCTGGGAAGCTGGGTGGCTGGGTGGCTGTGGGTTGGGGAGCTGGCCCCTTCTTTCCTCGCTCCTTGATCTCTCTTGCTTCCTTATCCCTCTTTTCCTCCTCCTATTTTCTCTGCCTGCCAGACACACCTGTTCTTTCTGCTGCCTTGCTATTGGCCGTTCAGCTCTTTATTCAATCAGTCAGGTGTTTTAGGCAGGCACAGTAACACAGCTTCACAGAGTTAAACAAATGCAACATAAAAGAATGAAACACATCTTTGCATCATTAAACAAATGTTCCACAGCAGAAACGAATGTAATCCACATTAAGCTAATATTCTACAGCGAGAGAGCCTGTGTCAAAATGTGCCGAGGACAGCGACTGAGGGAGTACATCATGCTGCCCTCTAGTCACCACTCCCATGTACATGTATTGTCACACACTTATTCATACAAAAAGGATTTCAAATCCATCTGGTGAGATGTCTCAGTGGGCTAAGCGTGCTTGCAACACAGCCTGGGAGCTAGAATTTAACCTGACCCCAGGAATCCATGTAAAGGTTGAAGGAAAGAACTAGCTTCACGAAATTGAGTTCTGACCTCCATACCTGCAGCACACCGTAGCATGCACACACACGCTCACGCACACACATGCACACACACATGCACACATACACTCACACACACATGCACATGCATGCACACACATACATACAAATGCATCACACGCACATGCACACAAACACATGTGCACACACACTCACACACATACATACACATACACACACAGGAAGAACAAGAGATTCAAAAATAAATTATATTCCCCTAAATTTGAACTCAAATATAATTTGAAGTCTACTAACTTAGGCCCTTAATCCTAAAATGGAGAAACCAAGGACCAGAGAGGGAAAGCAACTTGGTCAAGTCACACAGTTAGTAGGTAGAAGAAGGAGAATTAGACTTTGGACTTTCTGCCCTTGGATCTGATGCCCTCCTTACACTTAATCTTTGCATCCCTCTCCGTCTCCCTCCCCCTCTGCAGTATGTAAGAGACAAGTGCCCCCGGGCCAACCTGCCCCCTCTCTATGCCCTGGAACTACTGACTGTCTATGCATGGGAAGCAGGCACCCAGGAGGATGCTAACTTCAGACTGGATGAAGGGCTTGCCACTGTGATGGAGTTGCTGCAGGATTACGAGCTCATCTGCATCTACTGGACCAAGTACTACAGCCTGCAGAACCCAGTCATCGCGGACTTCGTCAGAAAACAGCTCAAGAGAGAAAGGTACTGGGCCACTGCTCTCAGCAAATCTGGCAGGAAAAGCAGAGAGACTGGTGTTAGGTGTGGACTGAGACGGCCTGTGGGACAGCACGGGCTGCTCCCTCATCATCCAGCAGATGGTGGGGGGTCTTGGAGCCGCAGGCATGGAGCTCAGGGTGTGCAGTTCAGCCCAGGAGCTGCTTCACGGTCTACCACAGGGCTAGAGTCACTACTCGTGAGCCCCAAGCCCCAGGAACGAAAAGTGTCCCTCTTACTTAGGGACACGGAGTCTGCCTCAGGCACTCCCCCAAGGAGTCACGGAGGCCACCAGACTTTACTTAAGCCAGTAATGTTTAATCATTCATTGTTTGCATACAGGAGGGACATCTTGGAGGCAGCTGAGCTGTCCCTGTTGAGGCAGTAGAGTTAGAACCCTAAGAACCTTCTCTACCAACCATGAGACCTTAAAGTCTATGCCTCCATTCCTTCACCCCAAAGCGGGGATGACAATAATAGTAAGAATAAGCCGTATAGAACTGTGGGGAGGGTTAAAACAGGCTCACTTGGGTTCTGGCCCAGTGTTTCAAACGCAATCAATAAATGTTGGTGGTGTCACTGTTATCAAAGGCCGTTCAGCAAATTTGGCCGCAAGCTTGTGCAGCCTCTCATAACCTCGAGAGGCCTCCCCTGCCAGAGCGGACGTCTGGTATTGCTCCAGGATGCATCCAGCAGCCTGGTCCTCTCCAAAACTTCATCATCCCCATGCCCTTGCTCGCCGGTGGTATTGTGAGGCCCTCCTTGGCTGACAGCTCTGGGGGATGGGGAGATGCTCAGTGGTGGGAAAGGGCGGTGACTGAGAAGCATCTCCCCAGTCTGGAAGGAGCCTGGGCATCCTCTCTCTGTGTTGCAGACCCATCATCCTGGACCCGGCAGACCCCACCCACAACGTGGCGGAAGGGTACAGATGGGACATAGTTTCTCAGCGGGCCAACCAGTGTCTGAAACAGGACTGTTGCTATGACAACAGGGACTCCCCAATCCCCAGCTGGAATGTGAAGGTAATGGTTTCTCCCAGGACCGTTAGTGGCCTGGCAATTCGACCATTACCCCTGCACAGTGTTGGCTCCCCCAGCTGGGTGCCTGTGGAGAACAACTCTTCAGAGGCCAGAAGCCTACAACACCATTCTCCAGCCAGCTATGAACTTGGGGCACTCTGTGACTTTCTAAACCTTGAGGTTTTAAGTTTTACATCCTTCCACTCTCCCCCTACTGGACTATCAGGTTCACATTGCTGATCACTGCTTGTGTGTGCTGAGTTCAGATAGCTCGAGTCAGTCAGCCTTCAGGAGGCAGAACTAGACTGGGGGCTGGGCTGAGAGGGAGGAGGAAGCTTGGAAGGTCAGAACCTTGTCCTCAAGGAATGCAGGTATCACCGTTAGAAGCAAGCTAAAGCAAGCTTGCACAAACCTGCAAGACAGATTCCAGGAAGAGATGAGACTCTCCGCTAATGAAAGGTGCTCAGACACGCTGCACGCTGGTACATCTCTGACGCAGCAAAGAGCATGCTAATCTCGCATTTACAGTTTGCGAAGTGCTTGTCCAGGGGCTGTCTCCAGGGACCTTCAGAACAATTCTGTATGATGGTTGACCATTATCACTATCTTTACTCTTTGATACTGTAAGTACTGCTGTTTCCATTTTTGAGAACAAGCTGAGGCTGCAGAGGGGTTAGGTCAATGAATCAAGTTTACAGTGCTAATAGGCAGCAAAACCTGCTAGCAAAGGCTCAGTTAGGTCTTTAATGAGACTCTGGAAACAGACGGTGAATACTAGCTAGAATCACAAGGCAAGAGTCCCTGCAGGAACTTTAAGCTGGAGGTGAGCCTAAAGCACCAGACAGGATATAAATGCCGGTGAGATGGCTCCATGGATAAGGGGGCTTGCGGCTAAACCTGAGGCCCAACTTGAGTTCAATCCCTGAAGCCCACATGGTGGAAGAACAGAAATGACTCCTGAGAGTTGTCTGCCATCCACATGTACACTGCATCTCTCTCTCTCTCTCTCTCTCTCTCTCTCTCTCTCTCTCTCTCTCTCTCTCTCTCTCTCACACACACACACACACACACATACACACACTCTATCATCTATCTATCTATTATCTATCATCTATCTATCTCTCTATCATCTATCCATCCATCCATCCATCCATCCATCCATCCATCCATCCATCCATCTTTCCCAGATACTCCAGGTTGAAGAGAGAAGAATAGGAGGGGCTGAGCAGTGTATATGTGAGAACAAAAGGCTGCTGGTGACAGAAACTAGAGCAGAGGCTCTAAAATAAGGCGCAGACAGAAAACGAGGGGCTGCAGCTAAATAAACCAGTGGATAGGAGGAAAAGTGTATGCCTCCGGGGTTTGTTTACGAAAACTGTGTAGCCCTGACTTTGGTGGAGCTCTCTATCTATCTAGACCAGACTGGCCTCAAATTCACAGAGTTTTGCCCACCTCTGCCTCCAAAATTCTGGAATGAAAGGCTTATGCCACCACCACCCAGTGTGTGCCTCTGGGATTTTTGAAACGAGGCTTCATTGCGTATCCTAGGATTCTCTCAAAACTCACAATTCCCCCGTTCTGAGTGCTGGAATGACACATATATGTCACCCCTTCCCCCGCCCCGCTGGGCTGTAGGAATTTTTTTCTTGAAAGTTTTACAAGCCCAGGCTTAGAGTCCTTCAAAACCCTGCTGTGCCCTGCAGTGAGTACTGAGCTCTAAGTGGGCGGGGGCAACCACTTTGTCTACCGAGTGGGAGGAGACCCAGCTTCGTGGGGCTGCAACTGTGCTCCTGGGAGAGGCCCCGCGCAGAGCCTATAAACACAGAGCGCTCCCACACATTTGCTGATGACGACAGTGACGAGGAAGCCGATTTTGCTATGGCGAAGAAGAATCTGCTAAGGGAATTAATAGGTAATCAGACAGAAATGTGACCCTAACCTCATCTCCTCTCTTGCAGAGAGCACCAGATATCCAGGTGACCGTGGAGCAGTGGGGTCACTCCGATTTAATCTTCTGGGTGAACCCTTATGAACCCATAAAGAAGCTTAAAGACAAAATCCGACGGAGCCGGGGCTACTCGGGCCTGCAGCGCCTGTCCTTTCAGGAACCCGGTGGCCCCCGGCAGCTCCTCAGAAGCCACTGCTCATTCGCCTACTACGGAATCTTCTCCCACATCCACATCTGCCTTCTGGACACCATCTCCCCCGAGATCCAGGTCTTTGTGAAAAACCCGGATGGTAGGAGCCACGCCTACGCCATCCACCCTCTCGAATTTGTCCTGAGCCTGAAACAGCAGATTGAAGATCGGCAGGGCCTTCAAACTCAGGAGCAGCAGCTGGAGTTCCAGGGCCATGTCTTGCAGGACTGGTTTGACTTTAAATCCTATGACATCCAAGACAGCGTCACCCTCAACCTGTCCAAGAAGAGGGAGGGGAAAGCTCCATTCGCACCCAGCTAGTTTCCTCTGTAAAGGTCTCTGGATTTTTGCTCACTCTGAGACTCAGCCTAGTCACCCCTCCTTCCAGTCCTCCGCTGGGGTGGTCCAGGGGGGAACCAAAAAGGATGTGAAGTCGTATGGAATCAGACAATAGCCAGACACTCTGTGTGACAATGGAATTCTGAAGCCACCGCTGCAGGCCTCATGGCCACACACTATCAGGGCTTGGTCAGTAACTGGTAGTTTACTCTTAACTTGTTCAGAGGAAGCCAAAAGGCTTCTCAACCAATTACACGGATCCAGCTTCAGGTTGCCTCATCTCCAACCTCCATCAGGGCATACCTGAAGCCTTCCCTGCCCCCACCCCCCTTGTGCCGGCCTCTGACTATCAAAAGCAAGGTAGGGCACCAAATCCCTTTCAAATTGAGAATAAACAGCCTCTATTTCTTCCCATTTTAGTGGTTTTTATTCATTTCTACAGATGCCTCTCAATTCTGGGGATTGATGAAGGTTTAAAAAAAAACAGATGAAAAGAGTCAAAGTCTCAGAGATTAAGGATGAGACAATGTTTTAAAAATCCCCTCTGTGCATGGTAGCAGACCTTTAATCCCAGCACTTGGGAAACAGAGGCAGGTATATCTCTGTGAGTTGGAGGCCAGCCTGGTCTACATTGTGAGTTCTAGTCAGGGGCTACATAGTGAGACCCTGACTCAAAGTTTACTGCCCATAATAGTCTAGAGACAAAAACATGCAAACCAAAAACCCCTCATTTTCATTGTCAAAGGATGTTGTGATTGGATTTATGACAAAAAAAAAAAACTATCAAAGGCTCCCTTTTGATCTGTTTTCTGGTGGACTTAGCATAGCTTCAAGTCCAATTTATAACTGGTTTTCAAAACCTTCTGGGCAATTTAACAATAATACTCTATATATCCCTAGCTTTTCTGCCTCCAGGCCTGGAAGAGCATCTCCTTTCCAAAGGGTAAACAGGCTACTCAGCCATATCTTTGTGTACTTCATAGTCCAGCCCCTGTAGGTGCCTTGAAGGAGGAACGAACAAGGCTGAGGCAGACCCACTGGTAGAGCACTCACCTGGCTCCTGTGAAATCCCCAGTACTTCCCAAACCAGGTGTGGGGGCGAACACCTGTAATCCCCGCACAGGAGCAGAAAAATCAAGAATTCAGTTACCCTTGACTACTGGTTTGAGGCCAGACTGAGCTACAAGAAACCCTTTCTCAAAAAAAAAAAAAATTGACCAGAAGAATAAGTCACTGTTTATGGTGCATTTAGACTCCTGTAACAAAAAGCGTAAATCCAGAGGCTTATATATAACAAGCTTTTGTTTCTTACTGAGAAGTTCAAGATCACTGGTGCCCGGTGAGGACCTTTTGCTGGTTTAGAGATGGCAGCTTCTCACTATGTCCTCATGTGGTAGAAGGAGAGAAAGGCAGCTCTGGGAGCATTAACAGCAGTGATAAAGGCTCTCTTTCCTGTCAATTATTTCCAAAGGCTCCATCTCTTCAGGAGTTTGCAGGAGAGTCAAACATTCTGATCATGGTGGTCACTTAAAAATTTTAAGGCTTTTTTTTATTTTATTGGATGTGTGTGAGTGCTTTGCCTGCGTGTATGTATGTGCGCCACATTCGTATCTGGTACCCTCAGAGATTGGTGTCGGATTGCCTAGAATAGGAGTTGTGGTCGGAGGGTAATGAGCTGGACAGGAATGCTGGGAATACAACCCCGGTCCTCTGCAAGAGCAACAAGCGCTCTGAACTGCTGAAACTTCTCTCAGCCACTCCTTTAAAAATCTTTCCACTCAAGACTGCTTTCATTTCAAGGATATTTTTTTATATTATCGCAGACATAGAAGTGTGTAAAATAAGCAGGCAAAATAAACACAGGAACAAATCATGGAGAAATACATTTTAAAACAACTCTTTGGGACCAGCAAGATGGCTTAGGAGGTGAAAGTATTTGCTGTCAAGCCTGGCAAACTGAGTTTGACCCCTGGGAGAAGTGCAGAACTGATTCTCTCAAGTTGTCCTCTGACCTCCATGTCTGTGCACATGCACGCACACACGCCTGTGCGCTCACACACAAATAAATAAATAAGTGTAATACAAATCTTTTTTAAAAAAAGTTATTTGAAGCCAGGTAGGGCAGGCCTTTAACCCAAGCACTTGGAAGGCAGAGGCAGGGAGATCTCTGGGAGTTCAAGGTCAGTCTGGTCTACAGAGTGAGTTCCAACACAGACTCCAAAACTACAGAGAAACCCTGTCTCAAAAAAAAAATAAATAAATTTAAAAAAAGCTATTTGGCGTGCATATAATTTTGCCATTGACTAAAGACTGAAGCAAGCAGGTGTAATTACAAACATATGCTTGTAATCCTAATGAGAGAAGCAGAAACAGGAGGGGCAATGTAAGTTCAAGGCCAGCCTGGTCTACACAGCACACTCCAGGCTAGCCAGGGACGTGTACAGCCATCTCAAAAGGGCAGAGGGGTAAAGTGCTTAGCTTTGCAATGATCTGAGTTCCATGCCCTAAACACACATAACAAAAGCCAGGCATGGTGATGCACACTTGTAATCCCACTCCGGGGAAGGAGCCAGGCAAATCCCTGGGACTTGTTGGCTAGCAGACCAGCTTACTCAATGAGTTTAAGGCCAGTGGATGACCTTGACTTAACAAAAAAATGTGGGAGACAGACAGCACCTAAGGCAAAATATTCAAGGTTGACCTCTGACCTCCACACTCATGCCCACCTATGTGCACATAACATAAACATGCATAAATGCACACACATGAAAAAACACAAAAACAATTCTGCATGGTAATGAGATAGATATGTTTGCTCACTTTTATATAAACCTTTCTTAAACATTTGATACTGAGGGACACTGTTATAGAATATTATTTTAAGATGTCTTACATTTGCTTATGCTGTTTAACATTTGTTTAATGCTGCAAAGATGTGTTGCATTTGTTTAGTTCTGCAAAGCAGTGTTACTTTGCCTGTCTAAACCACCAGATGGTCTAAGAGCTGACGGGCCAGAAGAATAGGCGGGGCTGGCAGGCAGAGAGAATAGATAAGGAGAAAACGAGAGAGGAGGGAGGAGCAAGAGAACAAGGAGAGGAGGACACTGGGGGCCAGCTCCCCAGCCCCCCAGCTCCTCAGCCCCCCAGCTCTCCAGCCATCCACCCAGCCCTCAAGCCCCCAAGCCCCGCAGCCACCCAGTTCCCCAGCCATCCACTAAGTCCCCCAGCCCCCCAGCCCCCCAGCCAGCCACAGAGTAAGAGTGAAAGGAAGATTGCAGAAGTAAGAAAAGGAAAAGACCCAGAGGGCTTTTCAAGAAAGAATAAGCCTCTGGGTGCGGATTTATTTGGGAGCTGGGTGGCGGCCCCATCCCCAAAGCCAGAAGAGTAAAACAACCAACAACAGGACACAAAACTTCGATGTTTGTCAGAGCGGATCAATATTTTGTTCTATAACCATCAATGCTGAGAATGCCTCTTCTCAAAAATACACTACAGAACAGCAGGCACACGTTTAAGGCCGTTTCGGAAGTTGTTGGAAACGCTGCCCTAAACCCAGCACAGAAGTCAACCATTTTTTCCTAATGAAACTCAAGTTAGCAACTTTTACAACAAGTGTTCTTCTAGAAAGCAGTTCAGAGATGCACTGACTGGATGTGTGCTAAGGAATGGCAGTAAAAAACGTTCTTTGTTTGCTGCAGCTGCACTGCCGTGCTTGCTAAGAGCAGAGAACGGTGTGTACAGCAAGAACTCTGCGGTTCATGGCTGGCAAGCTAAGCCAAGGAGTTCCAGCCTCCATTGGCACCCTGTGGTGTGAAGACACGTCCAGTACAGTGTGCAGATCACGTGGTCAACGCTGCACTTAGGTTATGCAAGTGCCAGAGACATCACAGGTTCATCACACGCTTGATTTTGAAACACACAGTCAGAAATCTTTACTATTGCCAAATTTCTCATGACCCTCCACATTCAGTTCCCCACAATTAAGATGCTGGGGGTGGGCCCCAAATGGCAGTATTCCACACCCACCTTGAGGCTCACTTTATGCGCAGGTCACAGAGGGAGTTCAAAAAGCAAACAGGCTCTCAAGTGCTAATCTGCAGCTATCTATGAACTATAGACTGTGCTGTAACTGGCAAGGCCTCAGCTATTCCAAGAGTCATTCTGACCCGGTATGCAAGACCCTGGAAGCCTATAGTTAACAATCTTCCTAAGATCAAATATGAACTTTAAAAGGTGGTTAGCTGCCTTCCTGATTTCATCAAATCATAAATAAATTCATTTTTCCTTAAAAAGAACTAATCTTGCTATCTTGCTTCTGTCATTACCTCCTTGTTTCACACACACACACACACACACACAAACATATATATATATGCATGTCACAACAATTAATGAAANATATCCTGGGACTAGCTCTTATAGACCAGGCTGGCCTCAAACTCACAGAGCTCCTCCTGCCTCTGCCTCTGCCTGAGTGTTGGGATTAAAAGTGTGTGCCACCACCGCCCAGCTGACTTCAGAATATTATTGTTCCCTATGTATATCTCTCATTTTCCCCCATCCAGTTAAGACTGGAAGCCAGGCATAGGGGTACGTGTAACGCCAGATCACAGAAGGATGAACCAAAAGGGTTGAAAATTCCAGGCCAGCCTCTACACAGCAAGCTCCTGCATCAAAAAAAAAAAAAAAAAAAAAAAAAAAATCAATAACTCAAGAAATATAGAGAGGGTAAATGGAAGGAGGTAGGGAATAAAAGAAAATAAAGGCTAAGGAAAAGAAAAAAGAAAAGAAAAAAAGGAAAAAGGGGTTGGAAGACCATTCTGGAGTTCATCTATAAGGACCGTGCACCGCCAATGGTGTTCTGTGAACTACAATCCCCATGATGCTCTGAGCGTCCCTTCTTATTCACGTAGTCATGTGGAAAGGAAGGGCAAATCAAAAAACGGACGTTTCCCCCACAATTCTTTGCGGCATCTCAAGATGGTGGCGCCCGGTGGTGCAATGAGCGATTCTGAGAGCTGCAGCAGTAGCAACAGCGATGCAGAGGAGTTGCAGCGATGCCGCGAGGCTGCGATGCCCGCCTGGGGGTTGGAGCAGCGCCCGCAATGGACAGAAAAACCTAGAACCGGTATGGGGCTCTCCGAAGAGCGGGGTTCTTCCCCTGGGCCCTGGAAAGGATGGATGGTGGGTAGGAGTCGCAGCGTCTTTCTGAAGCTCCTGAGACCAATTGGGGATCAGATTCACGCGGAGGGCAATTCCTTTATTCCAGCGGAGGCAGCTGAGGGCCCTAAATGTCTCCTGACTGCGCTTTCCTGCATGTGTCCTTACTGCCATTCTCCGGGAAGGTAACCATGATTGAGCTGCATCCCCGTCCTGTATTCTCAGAATCCTGCCTTTCCCGGCCCTCGCATGCT